ATCACTTTACTAATATTAAATACAAAAAAAATAATTATCATAAAATATTGTACAGATATAATTGAATAGGTACACTTAAATAATAATAAAAAAATAATATTTTTGTTTATTTGTTGCTACACATATTAGAACCATGGCATTTAGAACTATACAAAATATTTTGTTGTTTACATTTGCATCGTCTCGTAGTGCACTTAGTTTTGCAGAAACAAAAAATAAACCCTTGTCCTCCATTTAATGAATTTTGAATACTAGCAGTCCTCAGTGGTATTTCGATAATCGGTACATCATTGCTACTAATAAATTTTTCCTTGCATTGAAAAATTTGGTTTCTGGCATAAAGTGATAACAAAATTCCCTTATACATATTTAAGACTATACGGTTTTGCCCTTATGATAAAAGTCAGTAAACGGTTTTGGCGGTTTTTCTCAAATGAGGTTGGTCATAAATAGGTTTGCCCGGTCAAAAGTCAAAACATGACATTTTATCCAAGGACTGTGGGCAGTTCGCGTTTTTTCCCGGGTATTTCTGAGGTTTGCCCGATTTCGATTTTTGTATATATATATATATTTCGGTAACTGCAGGAAGAAAAGAAAATTTAGTAAAATGAAAATAATAAAAAATTTTTATTTCAACTACAGGAGAAGAATGTTTAAATAACTTGTTAATATTATCAATTGAAAACCAACTAACAACATTTTTTACTATGAAACTATGATTTATGTCTTTGTTGAAAAAAAAATCAAGAAAAATAATTTTATAAGTTCCTTATTATTTTTATTATTTTATAACACATTTATATTAAAAATTACAAATTCATTAATAAATTTTCCTTTTTCAAAAAAATATTTTATGATGATTATGTACTACGATTTTTACGATTTTGTACACCTAATATATTTATAATGTAGGTTGATGTGTAAAATTTTCATTATTGTGTAATAACTAAAAGAATTACCAGCACGTTTTTGTGAAAATTATGAAGATTAGGGATTAAACATTCACATGGGGATAATCGTTCATTTTTATAACTGGTATTTATTATTTAACGCATTCGAATTGCGTCCACAATTGAAATTTAAAAAGTTCGAGTTGTGTTCTCGGTTTTTGTATAATACGTCCTCGATTTACTCACAAAAATTTCGTTTTTGTTACTTTATATCTTATTCATTTTGGTTATTATCAAATACAACTCTTCCGATTAAGTTTTGAAAAATTTTTGGAAAGCAAATTTTTATCCATTAATACAATATAATTATTTTTTTTTTACCAAATATTATATTTATTTCAAGATTTTTCACGATTATATTATTGTTGCAAAGTTGCAATCAATGATAGTATGTTCTATTATACGTTTAATTATTTAAGTGAACGTCGCAGTGAAATTGATGCTAACACGTGCAAAATTAATGTCCAACAATAAATAGTAAGGTAGGATTTACAGATAAGGTGTCTATAATCGATGATACCTACGTCTCTATTGCCAAACATATAGAATATATTATGTACATATATTATTTTTACAGGCGTAACTTGGATCACTGAAAAATCGTGAATATACTCGAATGTGTGTAAAAACCGCGGTGCAACTCGGTTAGTGCGACGCATATTTTTGTTTTCGGGGATGCAATTCGTTTTCAACTTTATTTTTTATTGGTGATGATTCGGAAAATAAAATTTAACTTTATCTTTCCAGAGCCATGTATCAAGTCCGGTGAATGGTACGTTCAATTTATTGCTTAAAAATCTTTTTGAATAGTAATCAATATAATATTGATGAATTTACAAAAAAAGCGATTGGATATATTTGTGTTCATTATTAAATTTTATGTTATAGCTTGGTTTATAGCTCAGTCCACTGCTGAATAAATTCCCAAATCAAGACATACAATTTATAAAAGATTTGTAACCAAATAGATTATCAATTTAAAGGTAACGAATAAACCCTGTTTATATAATATATAGGAATAAGCTTAATTATTTATAAATTAAAGCATACACAATTCAATATATTTTTTTCGTTATTTTTAATTTTTACAATTGGTAAAAATTTATTTACAATAAGTGAAAGTTATAATATTTATTTGTTATATAGCATTATTCACTTAAATTAGGAAGTTAACCAGTGACAAAACTACAGAATCACATCTAAAAATTGTTGTTGTTGTTTTTTTTTTTTTTTTTAAACAATTCGAGTATTTATTTAAACACAATTATTTATATTTGGTTAGATCATAAATTAAAGAATTTTAAGGTCTGTCACTACCTCGCTTCAGTCGCTTCAAGGGGGTCGTTGGGTGTATTTTCAGTGACTAGCTCATTCATCAATGGATTTGTGTGGGCGATTAATTTAGAATGCAGACGTTAATAGTGTGCTACTGCAAAACTGGAGACATAGGAAATATTGAGGTTTGTGTGGAGAGTATGGTTGGAGGGGTATAAAGGAGCTTTTGTGATTTTGTGGAAGAAACAATAAGGTAGTTAAAAATTATTTTCTCAATTTATCGTGGATAATAAATTATTAAATTATTATTAATTATTATTATAACTATGAATAACAGAGGTATTAAAACTTTTTCATCCAACGGCTCCTTAATATCTTCATAATATGTACTTTGACGGCTCACAAATTAATAATAACAAAAAAAAAGTTTGTAGGTATTGTGTATGCAAATTATTATAATATATTAATTTGTATTTATTTGATAGATGACTATATAATAAAATTTACAAATAAATAAGTAATACAGAAAATAAATTAAATATTTTATATTTAACAAATACAAATCATTAAATTAATATTTAGTGAGATAGATGAGCTTGTTTATGTTTTATAAATATATTTCATACCCGAACCTAACCTAACTTATCTTATGCAATAGAACTTTAAATAGTTACGTGTGTTTGGATATCGCTTCGGTAATCACTTAAATTTTTATAAACTATATATATTAATTTTAGTTTCCTGTTTTTTAAGCATCTCCTTTCGCTAACTTTTGCAATGCCCTTGGGAACCACAACGCACAATTTAAATACCTCTGATCTATAATATTGTTTATTATTAACAGTTTATTACTATTTATACATTATATGATGCTTTCTTACAGTTAAGTTAATATGCATGAACGGTTTGAGTTATGAAAAATGTATTTATATAAAAGTTATAGAAAATTTCATTTAAAATAAATTAAATGAAAAATGTATTATGTTCAAACTCTAAGTTCAAATCGGCACTAGTTAACTTTATCTGATTGGTCTAAAAAATTTTGTAGTTCCTTCTTAAACATATACGCACCCATTTAGAGGTTAAGGCCAAAAATATTTTTAAATTTAAATTTAAAGAAAATCCAGTGGTGGCACTCAACAAAAATAAGAAACAAAATGTACAGTATAGAAGATAATATTATATTTTCCATTGTTACCGATATAATATTATATTAACTACATAATTATATTGATATAAAGACGTATATTAATACATATATATATTTTTTTATTTTTGTTAATACACAAAATAAATTGTTTGTAAATTTCATTAATATTAATTGGTCTTAGCATAAATATATGTTAAAAATAGGCGCAAGTATGGTCTATAGTAATCATCTACTACACTATGTTGGTACAATAGTTAGCACAAGTTTTCCACACAGATTCGCAAACATACGTAATATAAAACTGAACTTATATCTATCAGCCAATAAGACAAAAAATATTCTATTTAAGATGATATACTATTAAATAATTTAATATTTATGAATTTATGAATACTTTTTTAAGTAAATAATACAATGTGACTATTAAAGCACAAGAGTTAACTTTAATATATATTTTTTAAATATAAATAATATAACAGTAAGTATTTGTTTATAATCGTGTACATATTATATAGGTATATATAAAGAAAGCTATTAACATTTTTTAATATTTTAATGTTGTAATACTTAATGTTCCTAGCTGGCCATCAGTTATTGAACCTGAACGAGCAGAGTAACCGTTACTTTTAATGTACGTACGACATGCTTGGTAAAAATGATTTGAAGTTTTTAATCGAGGATTAGGATTTGACTGGTTTGTAGGAAAATTTGTTGAACATGTTTGTTATTTATTCTTGTGGAGCAATGGTGACGATGAATCCTTCATAAAACATCGATATTCATATGAATTAAAAGTATAAATATCGAAAATAATGTGTACATGAAACCACTATATACCAGGGACTGGAATCGTTTGAATTTATTGGTATCGGTTCCGGTACTGGTTCTCAGAAAATAAAATAACTGTTCTGGTTTGGTTCCGGTTCTATGATGAAAATTAATAAAGGTATCGGTTCCTGTTATCAATAAAATTTAATATTATTTCTTATCAATGAAAAAAAAAATAGTGAATATACTATATATATATATATATATATATATATATACCATTGTCCATTTGTTAGTGTAGTACTGTACTAAACGAAAAATTATTTTAATATGTATTGCTGACAATCAACGTTACCCCCTATAAAATACACAAAACAGTAATACGGTTTTTAAATCTGTTATAACCGGTAAAACTAAATCGTTATGTATCAGAATTTAGAAGATAATAATGTTTTAAATTAAAAATTGCAAATAGGTTAAAAATAATTAAATTATAAATAATAGCCTTCGCTCCATAGAATCAGTAGTTAAAAAATATTTACAATACTCGTCAATAAACTATGAACTACAATTTACACTAGCGGTGTCTATTTTATTAATACCATCGCTTTATTTGGAAGATAATATTGATTCCAATTATGGTATATACTGGAAAAAACATTTCTATATAATATTATTTTGCGATATATACACGTAATAAACACTTCAAAAATATAATTTTAAATAGGTAAAGAATATGAATAAGAACAAGAATAAGAACTTTGTATAGTTCTAGGAATAAACATAATAAGAATGGATCCCTGATTATTTATAAACAAAGTAGTAACTACAAATAATTTATGCTAAATAAAACTATTTAATTTTGGAACCTAAAAGAACCTTTATAATTTAAAAATTCCGGTTCTGTTCCGATATTTAATTTATCAAAATAAAGGTTTCGGTCCCGGTATCGGTTCCTATCATTTAAAAGGTTCCCGTCTCTGCTATATACATTTTAATGTTGTTATATTCGTACTGTTACAATAATTATTATGAATACAATATTATTTATTATGTATTAAGAAGACATGATACTCAAAAGTGTGTCTCAAGCTTAACGTTCTATATACCGATGATCTACAGCACGAACGCATACATGTAAGTATATGACGAATGATCATGATCGTTGATCTATAAATTGAATTAATTACTGTTATTAATATATTATTAATATTTATAATATAAATAAATTATTTATTTAGGATTTTAATGCAGAAAAACCAAATTGCGTGGGATAGAGCCATTCAGTACCAATTCATACTTGAGGTTCCTTTTTTTGTTTTAAAAATAGGTTAGAGTACTAATAAGCTTATTAAGTATAATGTAGCGTTTTTATTTTTTCGATAACTTATTTTAGCAATATTTTAAATAAAGAACTTAATTATGTTACAAATGTTAACATATTCATAACTTCGAATCCATTTTTATTAACTAAAAAATAAAAACGTTACATCATAGATTATTTTCTCTTCTTTTTTTAAAAAAAAAAAATAAATTAAAGGAGCCTGTACCATGAATTTGCACGAAATGATTTAGTCCTGAGTAAAATGAATTGTTATGCCTTTATTACTACTTTATTACATCCTCTTAATAATATATTATAGAATAAAATTTTAATTATTGAATTCTTCGCGGCGATTAAACCACACTTTTATATATATATATATATATATATATATATATATATAACTTCTAAACATCTTCGTAATAAATCCCCACGTGCAGCACGACATGTCGTAGCAGTGCCAAATTATGTTATGGGAGATTCGATATGGCGGAGTGACTGTACACCCAATCTGTTCTATCAGCGGAGTTATGGATGGAGAAGCGATGTAGATCTTTGGCGAGTGAAAGAATAATAAAAATACCTTCGGTAGGATTTTCGAGAAAAACTGTTTATTGCGTTTGAAAATCAGACCATAAAACTTTTTCCTCGGTTGGTGATGACCGCGGCAGTGAATGGACACTATCCTTCGAACATTGTTACAGTTGCAACGCAAAAAAGGCTAAGAAACCCTTACGAGATACGTGCCATAATAGCATTGCGTTAAAATAAAAAAAAAAAAAAAATGAAATAAACGCGACAACTGCGACAGTTACGGTCGCTATTAGCGGCGGCGTTTGTCGTACGTTAAAATAACGTAGTCGTGTCACGGAGTCGGCGGTCTGTTACCAAACACTTAACTTTAACGATTATCTACGGGGGTGAAACGGATTTTGAAACGCGAATGGGGAGGTGTTGGGTTTTATCGGCACGTCATCCGCAGAAGAACAACGTTTTCGCCGGGTCGCTAGAACATGACACGACGTATCGTAACGTGTTGTTGTGCAGACGTGGTTGCCGCGCAGTGCCGCCGCATTAGGTGCGGACGGTAATCTCCTGCCGCTTCTTGCACCGCTGCCGGGCTAAATAGCACAACGCTATCGTGATTAGAATGACGATGGCTATGCTCATGCCAATACTGATCCATATGACTTCCTCGTTGAATCCGCCAGACGCGTGACCTGCAAAACGTCGGTAAGTTAAGTTAATATATTAACTATGTATATATACATTAACATAAACATAAGTTTATAAGGGGGCATATGATGCTATTAAACGAAAGATTTTTATATTTCGTGTCAAAATTATTTTTTTCGCATACCTAGCGATACTTATTGCGTTGTCCAATATATTATGTTCACGTTTTTAATACATCGGTAAACTCTGAGGTATTTGGGTGTGCTGAGTAAAACATAAGTACCTGTAAATTTGAAGCGGAAAGCTTCACTACAATAATTTAGTAATGGTTGATCGTGAACACTTTTTAGTAATGGTTGACACAGTTTTGAAATGGAAAATGTCCTAAAGCTACAAAGAGTGTAAGCTGTTTTAGAAGTTACAAAAGTAAGTTATAAAATTCTGATATTTATCAGTGATTCAGAACCATATATGATAGAAATTGTGGGTGCATTAAACGTATTATATTAAAATATAATTCATATAGCTGTTATTGTCCCTGAATTAAACTACGAGGCTGAAAAAGTTAGAAATGATTTCCCTTGTATTAATAAACTAGTAAATAACAGGAAAAAATATTTTTAAAAGCTCCCCACCGTATCACTCCATTTAAAATGTTCATGGACACACTTATTTCTGCAGAATGACTGTTACATTATTGTAATAACTCTATGGAGATCATGGACAGAATCTGCTTAGTTTTATTTAAAGAATGTTAGTAAATTTAAAGAATTAGTATCGCATCTGAACGATGACGCCCAATCTATTAAAAAATTAAAAAAAACAGTTTTAAATTCAATATCTATCATATCCGATTTAGCATTCATTCGGTTGAATTTATTTCATTTGTCTAGTTAAATTACACAATTCAAAAAACAAAATTTAACCATAAATTGTCAAATAGGTATTTTTGTTAAGTTGGAGGTGGATTTATGCAAATTTAAAATTAAAAGGGACGAATAATCTAAGAAAAATGTAGATTAGTATTTAATAAAAATCTTGGATAAGATATTTTAAAATGCTTTATTTAATGGAAATTACATCAATTTAAATCTTATTATTATAAGCTGTTATAGCAAGTATTGTATACAACCATTACCCAATGACAATTGTTGAAAACGTGTTCAGAAAATATTATATACATATTAAGTGGCAGAAGACACAATTTCATAGAAAATCTGGAAATGTCCATGATAATAAATTTTAATAAAATGTTATAAATAAGATTACATTCTCTTTTCTTTATTTGCCTTCCAAAGTAATAATCAATGTAAAAATAGAAAAGTAATAATAGTAAAATTTGAATTGCCTACACTGAAAAAATCTTTGTTTTGCACCTTTCAGCATTTTAATTGTCCGTTTTTCAGAAGTAATATGGATAAAAATCCGATCTTTAGTTATATTAAATCCCTTCAATTGGATGGAGTGAAGGAATTTAATAATGTAAATTCTATAATATTTATACGGAATGCATTCGACTCTTAGGAATTCTATACCGAGAGATAAAATTATCTTAATATTACAATAATACCCCCGGTAAGAGAATACAATCTGATTAATGCACCGGGAGCACGTTTTTCTGATAACACGTTCAGGGATAACAACTAAGGAACGACCATTGGCGTAACTGGGGGGGGGGCTTAGCCCCCCAAATTTTTTTGTTTATTTAAAATTTAATAATAATTTAAGCATGGAATAGTGAGATACATACTAAATAATATGAATATATGACGCAGAGAATTACTCAAAAGTAAATTGTATAAATATAAAATATTATTATTATAGTTTATTTTGTAATTCCTACAATCTTACATAATTAATAATAATATTGTTATCTAATAAATGTGATGGACGACGGTGGAATATTGAGGTGATTTTATGTCATATTTTATGTACAACATAAAACTGATTTATAATAATATAGTATGGTAATAATATTTTATGATTGTTTTTATTTCAATTAATAATTATTGTTGTGTCTGCGGCAATGGGGAGTATGGGGGGGGGGGGGCAAATCTCCCTATAGCTCACATTGACTAAATTTATTTATAGAGCTTTAGCTTCCCAATATTTTAGACCTAGTTGCGCCAATGGGAACGATGTAGTTTTCGAGAAGGCGGTGGTCGTTGGGCCAGGAATATCGAAAAGGCTGTGAAAACTATTTGAATGAATTGTAGGGAAAATCAACGGACTGATATTATATACTAGTCCTCGTAAACACTTTGCACGCAACAACAAAATAATATGCTCGTCTTCGGTGGTGTATCCGGATTTACCATCGCTAGATCCGCCAGAATTGTGCATGCCGACACCTTTGCCGGCTACCCTTCCGCCGACAGGCATTATTGATTTCCAGAGAATGACCACGAGCACGTAACTTTTGGAAACCTCTTCTGCAACTTTCCACCGCCACCGCCGCTGCTGCCGAATGATTGATTCGTTATCTGCGAAAACGAATCGAAAAAAATAATAATTAAATAATAATACAGCTTAACAGATGTTATTTATATAACATCTGGATCGTGTAACATATTTGAATAAAATATGAGTGCGAATATTTGTAATGGAATATAATAATACATAAGAATGCAATATTTGCTGGGTGTTCGACCAATAAATTTTCATTATTGGACATGCCTTCGCGATGTATTATGCAGTGCTTGTGTCAAATCACACGTCACGCCTCTAGTTGTATTACACTTTCAGCCATTTTGTTACAAATACTGAATACAGTATTTATACCTTATAGTAACGGGTTACACAATATGTATTTTATTCGCATATTTTAAATTGTTTATATACAAATATACGATTAACACGGAATCACTTAGGGTAGAACGAGATTGTGTACGTTTGTCCTTTTTGGCAACACGATTTCGTACGTTTATAGATGGGTAACAAAAAGGTAGGCAAAATAAATAAACACGATTGCGTATGAAATTGTATGCAACGTTGTCAAATTTACTAATCTTACCGTTTTATATCTAACAAATATAGATACAATAAATATAGATATAAATATAAAATACATATACTAATAGTTCTATAACCGTTCATAAAAAAAATTAATAATAAAATAGTAAATAAAATGAGGATAACAAAATAAAAGAAAAGTAATTAATAAATAAATAAATAAAATCGACAGTGTTTATTTGAATGAAATTATTGTTAATAAATTATTTGAAAATATTTAAATTTGAATTCTTTGACATCTATAAACTAATACTTTCACTGAAACTCAGAAAATACCGTATAATATAAAGCAGCGTTTTCTTAATACCGGATCGCGACCCACTACCGGGCCGGTTCGCAAAATTTAATGACATTCTCATATTAAATTTGTTATTTATCATTTTCGTTTGATAATTTAAACTTTTAAGTAAAAATAAATTCATTAATACGAATAACTATTATTTACAACATAAATAATAATTATTGAGATTATGAGATTATGCTTCATGAAAAATCCGAATAGTATGACATTCGCCGTATCTATAAATACATTATAATAGTAACAAATGAATGACAAGCGTCGTTGGTTGTTACGGCACTAATCCGTTATCCGTTATCTACAAATGAATTACCGATATAGGCATATTATAGCGATGGCTAAATATTTATTTTAGTTTGAACCTTGGTGTCTAACAATCAACGTCTACGACGAGTTATTAAAATTGTAATACGTATACGCATCTTATTTTCTCACGTTTATTTATAATGGATAAATGGTTAATAAAACCAAGTACCGGTTCCATAAGAAACACCAACCAAGAGTCGAGTGATGTAAGTACAAGTTCTAATATTGGGTCTAATAAATGGTCGTCCGATGCGCAAAGTAATTCTCTCACGAAAAAAAAGGGGGCCTGGACTCGACAGTATTTTGAAAATTACATTCTATTTGGCTTCATCGAGGGCGATGATAACAAACCATTATGTGTAATATGTAATGTAGAACTTTCAAACGAGTCCATGAAGCCTTCAAAGTTGAACAGGCATTTAGAATTGAAGCATCCTGAATACAAAGAAAAGCCTATAGATTTTTTCATTAACAGGAGAAGACAATTAAAAAGTGCCAAAAAAAATATGACTTCAATGTTTTCACCTAGTCCGCCAACTGAAAACCTTGTATTGGTTTCTTATGAAATATCAAAATTAATTGCTGAAACGGGTTATCCACACACATTCGGTGAAAAATTAATACTTCCGGCAATGAAAATAATTTCATCTCGAATATGCGAAAAAAAAACAGGAAAAATAAGTAAATTTGTTGGCGTTGTCGAATAACACGGTGAAGCGTAGAATCGTGGATATGGCAAATAACATCGAAGAGACAATAGTAGGCCACCTCAAATCGTGTTTATATTTTTCTTTATAAGTTGATGAAAGTACAGACGTGTCGGATAACACTAATCTAATATGTTTTGTAAGATATGATCTTGGAAATACTTCTCACGAAGAGTTATTGTTTTGTAAATCGCTACCAACAAGAACAACAACAGAAGAATTATTTAATTTAATCAATAGATATATTATTGAGAATGGCATTGAATTGAATAAATGTGAGGGATTGAGTAGCGATGGAGCACGTGCAATGTCAGGTATTCGTACTGGACGTTTTCCAAGAGTAAAAGCTGTAGCGCCAGAATGTGTATGGGTTCATTGTAGTATTTACAGAGAGGCATTAGCGGTCAAAAAAATGCCATTGTCTTTAACTGAAATGATGCAAGAACGTGTAAAATTTATAAATTTTATTAAATCTCGTCCACTAAACTCGAGAATATTTTCTGCTATGTGCAAAGAAATGGGGAGTGATCATGATCATCTTCTTTTAAACTGTGAGGTGCGATGGCTATCGAGAGGAAATGTCTTGAAAAGACTAATCGAATTGAAGGAAGAAGTTTCGGTATTCTTAAAACAAAATCTTCCAACATCTAAAGATGCAATATTTGAATTTAAAGACAGATTTCATGATGGTAATTGGTTAGTTAAGGTAGCCTACATTTGTGATGTGTTTGATTTTTTGAATAATTTAAATTTGGCACTTCAAGGTAAAAATGTGACAATATTTTAAGTACAAGAGAAGGTGGAATCTGCAACAAAAAAACTTAATTTGTGATCACGTTGCATAAAAACAGGAAATTACGAGGCTTTTACAATGCTGACAGCATTTCAAAAAGAGAATAACATAAGTTTCATGAAACTACGAATTTTCATTATTACGCTTTGAACTTAAAATATACAACTGTACAAATATTATGATAATTAAATAATTATATTGATAAGTGTTTGAAATATTATGTTAACTATGCTGTTTTTATATTCCAATAGCTATTGATTTATTGTAATGTAAAAGTTAACTGTAAATTGGTAAGAAAGTTGTATATAATGATATCTATTTATAACAATTATTAATCTTATATATCTGTGCAACGAAAAAAAAAAGATAACGATTATTTTTGTTAACCCCCCCCCCCCCCCC